TCAGTTGAACAGCTGCGGCTGAACAGAACTAGGCAATGGTTGCACACCTCCCTTTAGCGCAAGTCAGAACAACCCCAGCCCCGCTCGTTCCCGGCTTGTTGGTTTGATACTGGGGTCGAAGCGGCATCCCCTGCTAAGTGACCACATCAATGTCATAATCCTGTAACTCCCAATTTTGTTACATTTTCTTGATTCTCAGTCCTCGAGCTCCAGCCAATGCAGTGCAGCCCTTCCGGGTTGCTGTGGTCAGTCCCCAACATACATCCCTCACACCTCGTCTCCATTGGCGGATTCTTACCACTTTGTAGCGAGCTATCTACTTCCTTGTTTTCTATTCCTGATTCAACTTTTCTACCGTGATGTCCAACTTCCTTTCCAGCTCAGCACAACTTCGATATGATAATTCCACTCGGGACGATCATCGGTTGCTCGGCTTGCTCAGACACGGGAGGCGCTCCGAGACTCGATGAATAGTTATGGTCCATATAGAACGCCTGTTTTCCTTTTTTTTCAGTTTGTTTACAGCCGTTAAGGATCCCCATTGAAGCCAAATTGCGTCGTTGTATTCCCCTTGCTGATGGTACAGCAGATCTCCGTGCCGGATGTTTCTCGTCACCAAGTATGCGACCTGAAATCCGTTCGTTCTTACTGTCCTCCTCATCAGTTGTACATTTGCCAGTGAAAAATGGGGGGGAAGCTTATAGCGGGGGCACTCTGGGCCTGCTTTGTACTCCACACACAAATGTTGGCAACGACGGAGGCAGGTCTGGCGGTGGCCGACGATGAAAACCGGTGGCTCTCTACAGGCACGTTGACTATGGCTGAACCAGCTGACAGTCACGGTATCTTCAACGCGGGGACAAGCCTTGACGCACTTGATGGACACATAGAGCATCAGTCAACAGCGGAACTGAGACCAATCAGCAGTTCAGCCACTCCCGATGTGCCATGCCCCAAGCCGGAACGAAGGCTTGTGCGCATATCATCTCTCACAAAAGGTCTTGGTGCTTTCCTGACGCTTTCCTTGTGTGTGTGGTTTTTGAGTGCTGGTAAGAAGCCACGACCAGTATCAAGCGAAGGAGCATCTGAGCCTTCCGATGATATAACAGGGAAAGGATTCTCTACGCAAAGCGGCAGCCTCGCAATCACGCCGCTTGTTGGCAGTCAGTCGGAAGAGCTGAGGAGGCTGCAGCGAGTGCAAATGCTCCTTCCGTCGGCATCTCGGCTCGCTGCTGCAATAGGCACACCTGAGGCTCAGAAACTTCTGGGCAGTGCGCAGAAAGCCTCCACTGAGGCACGGCTTGCAGCAAAATCTGTTTTAGACGGTAAGCGCCTGACGGTGTCTCTTAACAGTGCTGTGGACGCCTTGCGCAGCCTCCACCAAGTTGCCCTCCAGCAGGCAAAGGCACTCGTGCAGGATGGGGCAGATATCCCTGTTTTTTCTCTAATAGAATCGGAAGAAGTTGAAGACTCAGTGAAGAACGAAGTGGATCATGTCATCGAAGGGCAGAGTGTACTCCCCTACATGGTATACTTGCGTACCGTGCAAGAGAGTGTGATTGACATATCTCGACGGTTTGAAGACGCTCGGAAACGTCTCTTGGCAGAGACCGAATTTTCGGATGAAAGGGACGAGCAGATGCTGGTTTCTGCCGCTACGGAGCTCGAATGGCTGCTTTCACTAAGTGAAAGAAAGAGACAGGCCGTTCGGAGAGCAACAACTTTGAAGGGCTGCGCAATTTCTGGTGTACGGGTACACCTGAAGTGCCTTGTTGAAGAGTGGACTCGAACTATTCAAGGGAATGCGGAACTATTGCACGCTTATGTTGATTTGGTCTCCAGCGGTATAGAAGCATCCTTCGAGGATTACAGCCCGGCGGACCTTGCTGTGGAGGATACTAGCACCGTTTGCACTCTAAGAAGAAAACTCGCCAAGGTCAAGGAGCTGCTGAGTGAAATGCGCAGAGCGAAGGAGGCTGTGCATACGAGCCAGTCAGTGGGGAGCTCTGTAGCTGCTTTTAAAAGGGCCGAGCAATTACAGGGAGAGGCAAAGGACCTGCTGGATGATTGTTGGGAAACAACGAAGCTTTTGCCTCCACCGAAAAGCGAGCTGAGCCCCAGCGATGTCGCCGTGTTGGGGCGAACAGCCAAAAAACTCCAGATCGTTACAGAAGAACACAATGCTGCAGTAGGTGATAGTTTATCTGTTGTTTACCGCAGATGTTCGGATGCCCTACAAAAAGGCAGCACGGGGGAGGAGAGTGCCAAGTATATTAACCCTTCAGTGGCTGAGCAGCTCCGTGCAGAAGCATTGGCGACTGAGGGAAAGTTGGCCTTGCATTACCAAGAGGTACAAGAAGCTGTTGCAAAGCTGCAAAATGCAGGAGAGCTAACGGATGCACTAATTCTGCTTGAGGACTTGGAAGGCCATATACCAGTTTTTGTGGAGTGCAACAAACGTGCGGTATTGTTGGTACTGGAGACCTACCTCCAGACCCTTCTAGAGGAGGATATTCGAGCTAGCGTGAAGACCGCTGCGCGTACCTTCTCGAGTAAGTTGATCCTGACAGGGCCGAACAGAATGCACTTTGAGAAGCTTCGAGGGCGCTTCAACAAGGCCAAAACAGCGGTTAACAAGGCAACAACTTTAACCGAGGCAGCACAAGCTGCAGCAAAAGTCAGAATGCATGCCGACGCACTAAGCGATTTTGCAAGTATTCAATGGAGAGGTCGGCTAGAGCCGCCTTGAGAGTTTTTGCATTCGCTCCCATGATTCGTCGAGAACAAATGGGCATATACGCCAAGGTCGACACAGGTACCCTCAAATTCGCATCCGATGCAAACGGCGGGAACTTCATCCGAGAATGCCACAAATCCAGTTTGGCGGCGATGTCACCTCAGCTTTGTTTTAGTTAGAACTTTCTTGCCTGTAAACAACTGAAGATTCCATTTTCACTCTGGGGGGTTGCTGCTGCTTCTTCCTCCCATACTGTGAATTCCATGATAGTCAATGCTGCTCTCTCCATTCCGCGGCAGTCAGAAAGACGGCGAGCGCTTTTTTTCACTAGGTCTGCTGCTGCTCTTGACCCTCATGCACGCCGCCGAGCACTACAAACAAGCAGTTGCTTTGGCTTCGCTTTTCCAGGTCATAGAACAGGAGCGGCTCGTGCTCTGCATAGGGGCTACGCTGCCCCCAAGACAACAGGTTTTTGAATATAAATATCTCCGGGTGGCATTCGCCACTACTTTCTGTGTTGCAGCAACACGTGGAATTGATGCAGTTATTTTTGCCGCCTCATGGGCCTCTACGTATCGGCTATACACCACAATGCTGCTCACATGGAAGTGAGAGTCAGATGCTGAGCGTCACTGCGTCATGCACGGATAAAAGCTTTATGTTTTTTGCATTGCAGCACAATTTACAATGCACTTGAATGCCGCCAATGTTACGAGGAAGCATATACGCTGTCATAGCTATCATCGTCTGCCGGCTCGTCATCAGAGCCGACACGGTAGTATTAGCTGATTCGCGTGCCAATAGGCAATATAGCATGTGTCTACAATGAAGCGGACTGTCTGTATTCTGGTCGTGAGAAAGCACCGGTCTGCAGCCTTGGCGGCGGTGATTCGGGACAGCTCCACAACGGATTTTTGCGAGTGCGTGCCAGGAACTTGACGAGCTGGACCACTTGAAGCAGCCATGTACGCTTGGAAGCAGCCACGCAGCTAGAGTGTTGGACGCACTGTAGCCAATTATGAGGTGAGCAGCTCGCTTCCCCAGGGGAATGGCATGATATGCTCATATCAGTTGCCTCTCGTTTTGCTGAGCACTGGTAGGTGTCTCATGGATGCACGCAAAGGTGTTTTGTGGACACATGCACAGACTGGCATTTGCAATACTCACCATTACCCAACACGTAGCTTCTCGCATTACAGCAGCACAGCCCTGTCCATTCGCCCACAGTGGACCCTTCGCTTCATCGTTGTATCTTCCTCGGTAAAACTGAAAGGGGTCCTATGTTATGTAAAGTTATAGGTATGATTGCATAATCTAAGGAGAACGGAAGGGTAACCGCTATCGGAACAGAAACCATTTACATTGACTCCTGAAAAATTGGAATGCTGAGCCACGGGAAGACAACATATAAAACGATGCTTAGGTTATCCTCTTCCTCCTTGGAGTTGAAAAACGCTGCCTGCGAAGTTTTATAGTGGAGAATTCGTGTTGGCATGGCGCCGAGGTATAAAATAGCACAGCCGTCCTGCATTTCCCGCCAGTTTACAGGCTTTCCCCGTCTCCGTGAAATTATCCCCCACTATCTATTCTCTCTTCTGTGCACTGCTTACTCACGTACCATACAGCGCTCCGGTCGATCATGTCTACACTGGTAATGCCATAAGCCACACCTCAAGACTGAGGTGAAATCCCGGTGCAGAGTGTCAACCCATAATTGACTATATTTGAGGATCGTTTGCATACGCGGAAAGATATGATTCTGCCTTCTCTGAACAGTGCCGAGCACTCCACCCCAAACAGACGTCCCCCGAACGGCCCCTGTCTCAATACTCAAAGGGCGATTAGTTGTGATTCGCATCTTAATTCCTGACTGCCATTTGATGAAGAGTGCTGAATACAAAGAAAAACGTTATAACGGCCGCCTGTCACCTAGGCCTGTAAGCTGTAATACAGTAGCCGACAGAAACTGCCCATTTGCAGTGTCTGTATCCTTGATATCGGCAGTACGCACAAGACTACTGACACTGAGTCCCCAAGTTCCTAATACGCACGCACTGTCATGAGAAAATTGAACAGCTGTGTGCATATTCTGAAAGCGCTCATGCAACGAGAGCCCTCGATCATATTTGTTGACCGTCGCGAGTTGCAAGGGCGCCAAAATACTTCAGTTCCCTAAAAGCAGCTGACCTCCCTCCCATATCTCCAGGCGCCCGGGGTGCAGAGAGTCAGTGACTGAAGTTGCGGGAGACGCGTCGGCCTGGCATGCTGCACCGCCTCTCGCAGGAGAGCCCCGCATGCAAGCACAACCAACCTTTTGTTTCTGCATGTGTTAACTCCGTAGGCACTTGCTGAACATTTAGATTTGCTTGCAGGCAGCCTACCCAGTCCAAATTTCAAGTGAACCTCCCTCTGCTACTTTCGGAGAAGCTATGCTACGGTTTGGTACAGAAGATGTTAGCTAGAGCGTCTTATCCGAGGACTGTCGCTAGCTGCGTTGTCAAAATGCTTGAAAAAAGCGTTGGCAACTGACCCCCTATCCAGTCAGCAGGCATCATGGGAGCGGCAGCCAAGGGCCTTCATTATTGAGCTCCGAGAGCTCGAAAATCGATCAGGTACTTCGGCTGAACCGGTTGCTGTTGCACAGCATCGCTACTGCACACGCGACCCGTGAAGTAAGCATTTTGCAATTATTACAAGCTATTATATAGTGAAGTATAAAATGTACAGTAAACGCTACAATTCTACATCTATGTTCTTCATATTGACTGTTAGGTTCTGCAACGCATGCAAGTGTTTCTGCACTGGGTCTTTGGCCCGCGCACAGGTAGCGTCGGGGGTATACCATTCTTGGAACGTTGCAATAGCAACCCTTCCAAAACAAACGAATTAAATAAATGCAGAATGTGGTAAGGGACGTGGCCTTACGGCCACAACAGGCCAGTGGATGCTCGATTCGTCGGAATGCACCCGCGATGGAGCCCTAACGATCCTGAACAATTATCGTGCNCGCTTGAGCGCAGCTTTTACGTCTAATGTTCGTAGTGCATGGCTGAATGGCGGGGGACAATGCAGAGATCTATAAGGGTACTATTGCGCCGCGTGTGTCTCGCTCTTCTCCAATGGGCCATCGCAGTTAACACAGGGGGCCTCACCTGGGCGTCTATGCATGAGAAGGACTGGCTGTCTTCTGGCACTGCCTTAGAGGTGAAGGAGACGGAGTATGGAGGTGGCGAACATAATCAGGATGCTTCGCTCGCCGACGCAGGCTTGCGAATTTCGAATAGAAGTATCGATGGGGGGACTAATGGAAGGCCCTCTCCCCTATCGAAAGGCAGCTATTTCCACGCATCAACAATGATAGGCAGTGTGGCAATTTCCCTGTTTCTATTGCACATTGTTCTTTTTAGGGCAGGCAAGTGGCGACAATCAGAGCTAATGGAGCAAACTTATACGGACGATGGTGCATTGGACGAACAAACAGGCACACTACCTCTGGATCCGCAGATAGAAGAGACACGGATGCGACTGAAGGAAGTAGCAAAATTGCTTCCCTCAGCGGCTCGGCTTGCCTCATCCATAGGCTCAGTTGAAGCCCAGAGATTGTTGGCAACCTTACAAGAAAGTCTCAAGCCAGGAGGGATAGCTAGTGGAGATCCTGTGGACAAAGACACGATAAAAACGCGATTTGATCTTGCTCTGGAGGCGTTGCGCGGTCTGTACCGTGCCGCGATCCTTGAGAGTGAAGTGCTTGCGAGGACTGACTGGGATACCCTTGCACTTCCCTTTCCTGCTTCATATGAAGAGCAAGGAAACCTCCTCTTTCTGTTGCGAGACGCTGGCGGGCAACAGGTGAGCGCGTTCCTCGAGTACCTTATCTCGGTTAATAAAAGTATTGTGGATTTATCGTTGCGTCTTAGTGATATCCAATATAAGATGTCTGCTACACCTGTGCTAGAAGATGAAGACGATGGAGAGCTGTTGGTATATGCTGCAAGGCAGCTTGAGCTGATGCGCTCTCTAAGTGATAGAATATTCCAGTTAAGTGATAGAGCACGCAAGTTGTCAGTAGGCGCCGCATACGGTGTCAAGTTAATCTTGCTTCATGCGATAGAAGAGTCAATGTGGAAACTTCAGGGGACGTTGGAAGTAGCTCAGGCTCACACTTCTTTGATGCGTGATTATCAGAGCTCAACTATGCATGATGGTGACCAGAATGCATCACAAGTGGAGGATAGGGGTCGCTTAAACTCCCTCGTGAACCGGCTCAGAGAAGTCGAAACGCTGCGGGAGAAACTTGGCAAGGAGTTGAAGATTGTGAAATCGATTGTAACTATTGAAGCTGCCGTAGCTGGGCACGGAAGAGCGGCTGTGCTAGTAGAAGAAGCTGAGGCTGTGCTGTCTCATTGCTGGGCGTTAGCACAAGAACTTACTATCCGTTCCCAGCTTGATGATGACGAGGTTGCACGGTTAACGTCTATGGCCGGAAATGTGGGGCGTCGCGCTGAAACAAAACTAACTAGCGTACGTGAAATCCTGTCTCGTGTCCAGGAGAGGTGCAGTGCCACTATCTCCCGCAGCACTACGACGCCAGGAAGCCAGCATATCAGCCCCCTTTTGACAACTGGCCAGCTGGAGACGGCAAAGGAGATTGGGAAAGCAGCAAAGAAGCGAGCCAAGACAGCCATGGCGTTTAGACAGGCCCCGAAGGAGGCAGAGCAAGCCCTGGAATCCCTTAGGCTTGCGGCAGAAAGTGCAGTCCATCTTGTAGTGCTGAACAAGAGAGCACTGCTTCTCCTGCTGACTGGAGAGTTGCAAAGCCTTATCGAAGAAGACGTTGAAGATTGCGTGCAAGCCGTCGCATCCGTAAGTTCGAGGAAATCAGGGCTCCAAGAGGAGGACAAACATGCGCTAGTTGAAATTAAATCGCATTTCGACGAAGCTTTGAAGGCTCTCAAAGAGGCAAAGACATTCGAAGAAGTAGCGAAGACTGCAGTATTCCTTCGAAAGCACGCCCAGTCAGCAGAAGCTTTTCTAGGGGAATCCGAGATAGATCAATCGAGGTAGTAACGACCTCAAGCATCTGTTAGCTTGGTACGAATTATATGCTGATTCTCAAGCTGTGCGCTTGTCTTGTGGGGTCCAACCAGCGGTACCCTACCAAAGAGTATGAAGCTACGCATGATGATGTAGCTGAAGCTTGCCGGTCTTTCAACCTTCGTACCCCGGTCGACAACACCGGGATTTTTCATTGCAACAACATTGTTTGCTGCTGTGTTAAGAGACAATGCTGAGCGCACCATCAACGGCTAATTGAGTGGTAACCAGCGCAGCATATTTCTTTGTTGCTAAGGCGAAGATTTTGCCCAAGTTACACTTGTTTACGAGACAAAACACTGAAGGCACGTTGACATATTGGTTACGCTAAGTACTAGGCGTGAGTGGGCCGCACTTTGCATTGTTCTAGTAGGCATTCACGCATGTAGCTTTGCTGCAATATATCACGACTTGAAAGGCTTCCCCCCAGATACTCCCACTGGATCATAGCATTCTTTGATATCGTGTCTGCACGTGTTGTTTCACTTGCATATTCTGATATAGCGGGCTTTATACTGTTCAGAGGATGGCATAGCCCTTCGCTAGGTGAGTTTGTTGTCGGCACGATGGTTGGGCGCGCACTCTGATACAAAGATCAACTGATGAACCAAGCGTTATTTGCCCATAAGCAAACAAATACGTTGTCATTGAGGCAGGCGTGCCGGAGGTTGCTGTTCTTAACTTCACCCTGCTCTACAGCCTCAGCTATTATGCGCGCTTCCGTATGAGCTCATCAGCAGGTAGTGATCCAGAAATGATGCCCACAGGAGCCAGGAGCTCGACAAAGTGAATCAACGACCGGGGAATTTACAGACTGCCCGGAGGCGTGCGTACACTTCAAAAAATGTTGTATCCTTCGTATAAGCTTCGCTATAGAAGGACAAGATTCATCAGCTGTTAAGTAGACGAGGGCTACGTGCCGGATACTGAAAAGTTCGTTGGAGTGAAGGTATAGGAACAAGCGACCTCGTCAATGCATGCAGCCAAATTTGGTCAGTATATACAAAACGCAACATATAGGATGTGTACATGTGTTCTACGGCGCTACAAGGCGGCTCAGGCTACCTGACGCTCGCCCCTAATCCTTCCTGGTGCTCCCTAGTTAACGGTTGAACTTCACGCGGCTCATATATTCAGCCTTTTCCGCAGGCTCTAAGAATAGACTCATGCAACTCCACTGAGTGGCCTGGTCGCGTTCCTGCAGCACAGAGAGGTTTCATAAACTACGATGTTCTAGATAACAATTCTGCTAGCTGTCCACTATCGTCGCAGGCCTCAACCTAGTTTCAAGAAGCATAATATAATTTTGTCTGCTTGGCGGAGCCCCATGGCTCTTTACTGTGAAGCAGCATCTCGCACGACCAGCGCGACTTTGGTGCCATTTTCCCCAGCCCCATAAAGCTCACAAGATTAATGGAAACAGTGTTTACTCTAATATCACAAGTTCCAGAGACAACATGAGCAACAGGATTGTGCATATTCCCTAGTTGTAAACATGGCATTTGCCACACATGCTAGCTTCTGCAAGGGCTCCAAACAATTCTCATATTGTGGCACTGAGCGGCTTGGGTGCAAAACTACCTAAGAAATCAGTACTTCACACGACAGTTTTCAACTTACCTCAGCATCTTACAACCATATTTTGCACCGCGATAAGCTTCTCCCGAGGGCACGGAAACAGCAAGACGGGGTATCCGGCGCCTAATGCAGTAGAACTAGACTCCCGAATTTCGCACATGTGCAGCATCGCGCAATCTCCCATACGTAGTTCACACAAGTGGTGTACTGCCCTGAGCTGGAGTGCTGATATTTTATGTAGTATCGACTGGGGATCTTGCAATACTTCCTGACTTGGAAATGGGCAACAGTTGTCCAACCATCCTAAAACATTGCTAATTATGCTAATTATGGGCAAGCGCTGCTCCTCCACCCCACTAAGCGTGCTCTCTCATTCAGAAGGGAGAGTTCCTGTTGGCATCTTGGCGCAGTGCTCTAAGAAATTGCGCCATTCGAAATTATCGGCTGTCTCCTCTACAACAAACAGGGCAAAACGGCCACCGACGAGCTAGTGCCCGATATCACCTTCATCTCTTTTCCAGTGTACTCCGCTTCAGGGGTCCAGCGTACCCCTCGTCGGGGTCATCGGACACTTTGTCCAAATTTTTTTTGCTTCGAGCACAACTCCAGCGGATCGCTTGCGTCGATTTGGCCTCCGAAATTAAAGTCAAATGCGCTTTCATCGTCCCCACTTTATTCTGATACCATTCGCTTGTTATTTTACAGACAAGTTTTGCCCCTCCGCGCAGACACTGTCACGGGCGATGACAGCCAAAACTCCCACACAACAAACCCCCGAAGAGTTCCCCGGCTAAAGTCAGCGGCACTAGCCGGTGCCTCTCATAAAAAGCAACTGGATCTGAAGCTCGATAATGGGCAGCTAGGCAAACGACTTGCACACTGGGCTAGCCCTGCAATGAATGTGTGGGCTGCCTCCTGCGTGGCAACCGATACCCAGTGAAAGAAGCTGCAAAATTCTGCAGAAGCTTCAGTGTGTACTGCATTTATGCTTGTGTATCATAATGAGGCGGAACAAGCATCTGCGCATAGCGCAACTGCGCACTTAAAAAGAGCTCAGACGCAGCCCCTTAGCAACCTACGCTGGTTAATGGATTACGATTCTCTGTCGCAGAGGCACTAGGAATCCTGGCCTATTTACAAGTAAAGATGCTCTATTTAACTGCTGCGTCACGTGGATATTTCTACCTAGAATCGCCAGAAGGGCACCGTACAGCTACTTTCAATGCTGACTGCTGATGTTCTGGTGGTCGACGAGCATAGTAACATCCTAGATGGGGCGTCAAGCTGAAAACAAGATATCCCAGTTTCTGTACATGAGTCTTTTACTGCTTGGAGGGAAGAAAACGCGTCGGCTTTGTCTTCCTGCTGCAGTACCTCCAGCCAGGCAATTTCCACTGAGCAGGGGACAACATTTAAATATCATACGCTTCAGAAACACTTTGACATTGCGCATGCTTCCCAAACGATTGGAAATGCGAAACCTGGGAAGGAGTTCTGGGCATGTAAGAACATATAATGCAGAGCCGAAGGCAACAGCGCACTGCATCGAACTGAAATGACGAGCAAACACGCGTACAGATGCAGACGATAAAGCAGACAGTCAGGGCAGGAGAGTTTCTCCGAAAGGATCTACGTTACGCAAGTTTGCAGTGCTGACTCTCCATCACATGGCGAGCAGAAAGATCAGTCAACGAGACTACCAATCAGTGCTTCACACTTTACAGCCTCAATGAGCAAGTGAAAGGTAGCATGGCTTAATGATGGTGCGGCGGCCCCCTCCGCTTGTTTAGTAAGCTTTCCATTGCCTCTGCTTTTTCCCGCATCCTTGCCGCTGCTTCTATAGCTCCTTTTATTGTGGTTGCCTTCCTAGCTGACTCCTTGGCCGCGTCGAAGCTAGCCTCAAGATCCTCTAACACACCTCGTTCAGAACGTGAAAGTGTTGAGCGACTTGAAGAGGCGCGTTCAGCGATCTCTATGTTGGATTGGATATCCATGTTCAGCAGCTTCAACAAGCAATTATCCAGCATAAGCATATAAAGCTTGCTGGTCAGCGTCACCATAGGGATGACAGTGGCTGTAGCCTTTTGCACTTGACTTACCAAGTGCTTTGTCTCGCGCAACCCATGCAGCGCCTCCAGCAATGATTTGATCTCAGAATAGTACTTTTCAGCCTTTGCATAGGTTTCCTCTCCACTTTTCAAGAGACTGGCAGACAAGATTGTATTAAGATGAGCGGGTGGGGTGTCTGAAGCCTCAGGGGAACCCTGAAGCCCTGTTTTTGTTGTTTGTAAGTTGCGCAGCGCTACTCGCAAGCTCGCCATTTCTTGGACGGCGCGCCAATTGGCTTTAAGGGCCACATCCTTCAGCATGTTGGATATTCTGGGATCTAAACATTCCTCTGGATGGCGATGGTCAAGAGCTAAAGTCCAACATTTCACCAATAGATCGTCTGCCTGGGCTTCTAAGTCATCAGCATTCCTGCTTGCTGACAGTATGTCACTCAAAGTTATATGTGGATCAGGGGATTGCAGAATATTCCGCAACTTAACCAGCACAGCCTCCGCCGATGCAAGCTTTTCAGAAAGCGAAGGCAGTCGACTGCTCTGCTTCGGGTCAGCAACCTGTGTTTCTTTGTCGCGGTTGGCTCCGTTGTCTCCTTCCGCTGCAGCCATAAGCGCCCTCGCAATACCCAACTGGCTCTCAAGATGCAGCAAACGAGCTTCGCGCAGTCCATAAATATGTGCTTTTATGGCGAACAACATACTTGTTTCCATTTGGAATGCCGTATCCACAGTGCGTGCCTTTTTGTTTGCCAGATCCTTCAGCCACTCAACTTTATTCGCAAGAGAGATCAGCGACTCCCCACTCATTTCATCTACAAATCTAGGTACTGAGGAAAGTTCGCCCCGGGCTTCACCGAACTGTCGACACATATTTGATATGCTTCGGTCAAGTAGACGCAAATAATCGACGAATAGAAGCGCATCCTCCGCTTCCCTATCCTCAATGGTGGATAGTAGCGCTAAAGCCTCTTCTTTTGAATCCACCATAGAGAATGTTCGGCTTTCTGCTCCATTCTTTGCCAGCCCTTCTGCGTGCGTAGCGGCAGTTTGGTGCAGTCTGCGTAGGGTCTCCAATGCCCGATCAAGCCGGTCGCTCGGCTTTCGCCTATCCAGTAGTGTGTCATCGAACTGGTCTTCCGGGTCGACATATTCTTTAACAGCGGCCAGTAATCTCTGGGCGTCGCTCGAGTCAACGGCCGAGGCGAGCCGCGATGCTGATGGAAGAAGCCTTTGCAACTCTTCTAGCCGCCTTTCTGCCTCTGTCTTCTGGGTTGCTGAAGGTGACTTGTCTGTCGCTCTATCCTCTCGCATGGAAACACCCGCTTCCCCTGTTGCATCCGAAGGTATTCTTGAATCTTTCTTTGTAGGCAGATCCGCCTTCGGTCCTGCGCGCCGCTGCACGCCTGCTCTCACCAAAAACAAGCAAAGTAATAGCGCTAGGGCCGCCCCTAGCCCCGTGGCCACCGCCGTCCTTCGGTAGCCTTTCACTTTAGATTTAGGCAAATGATTCTTGGCTGCAACTTCAACATCGGTTCCTGCCATGCCCAGTGTTCGAGCATCATCTGGAACTGCATCAATCGCCTCCAGGCTCGAGTCGAGGAAGGATGCGCTCTGCATTGAGTCATGGTCTCTATCGCCTGACTCACTTGCAAGGGAAGCACCAATTGAGAGCCATGCACGTGAGGAGGATACCCCTATGGAAGCCTGTACCGCTGGCACACAGAGAGCATGACGCAGCAAGAGGAGCAACCAGCAGACCCGCCATCCCGCCCGCTCCTTCATCTTCTGCAACTATCCATCAGAACAACTCCATGAACGAACATGGCAAGGCTATAAAGGGCAAGTCGAGCCACAAACTACCCAGGAACGCAGGCCCGGGCAAACCGCCGGGCATGTGCTGCGCCACCGCGGCTATGACCGAGCGAATGCGGCCAAAGCCGCAGTCGACAGTTCCGAAACTGCCTATTAATATGCAATATTTGCATTTAGTAAGCAAATATTGCATGCAAACCGCCACAGGGAGGTCGTCAAGCCGATCCGACAGCAGTTCCTCTCCCGCGGGGGCTTCGAAATGGGTTCCTCTTGACCAGAAGGGATTCTATGGCTCCACGAGCAACCATTGTACGGTTTGTACACAACTTTCATTCATATCCCACTGTGGATTGGGATCTAGATCGGCCACAACACTACGAACCGCAGCGAGGGGACGAAGCTCAATGTACGTGGTACGTGTGGCGAACTTGCAGTGGCATGGGATCCACTGGCGCTAAGGCTTCCTGTTGAACGTCTATTGGACGCGCTGTACTCGAGCAACCGATACTATTAAATATGCATCTACATTTTCTCATGGACGCGCGCTAGTTAATTATGTTGTTTCTCTGCAGCGACGAGGTCAAGATGCTTGGTGACCAGACTGCACAGGAAGGAGCGTTTCGGAGACATCGAGCTGAGCTCGCAGTGGTATACCTATGACTCTCCCCGCCAACTGTCTGTCTCCTTTAAGCTTAAAACGTTTCATTCAGTCTTTTTAGGTGCCTAAAAGACTTGTAAACATCCTCCAAAGTTCGCAAGGGAGTATTCCGCGGACGAGGGGAAATGGCTCGTGCTTCCGTAGACGGGCAGGGAAAATACAAATACCCACCCTCCTTTTGCCCCGAATGTGACCAATTTGAAAAAATAATGGCATTCCAGGCAAATCCACTTCAATTCGTTGCTTTCAGGTAGCACGCAAGCGTCGGTGGAGCTGCGGCCCTAGTTCCTGTACTTCACTTGCACCACTGTGCGTTGTTTGGAATACAGAACAGCCTGATAGTCAGCAAAAATTTACATGTATCGTTCATATTGAACTCAGGCTCCGTCATGAATCACTCCGCGCAGGCCCCTCATGCACGAGAGTGGCCCCCCTCTGCCAGCGTCCAGCATACCGCTAGCAAGACGTCTACTGAATTTATCACCAAAGCCCCTGCGGGAATGTACAGAAGACCAGCTGCAGTATACTTCGCGTGAGTAGAACAAACTTAGTACAGAAGGGGTATTAAAATGAGTGTTCCAAGCCTTCACTGCAAGGAGTAGGAATTGACGTAGGCGCACCCAGTATCATAAAGACATCAAGTTTCCCCTGTGATCAGACATGAGAGTTCATGTGAAGAAATGAACATTCATCATTCACTGGAAGCTGGACGAATTCTCTACGGCTGTAATACTGAGATTAACTATGTCCGCCCGTGCAGTGGTAAGAGAAGTTCCACGGTGATGTTACACAGAAGAGCAGCTCGCGGTGCTAGTCTTCATGCTTCTTCAAGGCCTCAGAAACTCAGAGAAGATACCTTGAATCCTCCCAAATTGACAATGTTCGTACGTGCAACAATCATGCTGAAGTATAACGCCCAAAATGCCCTCCCGCCTGACGAGCACCTGAAAATTCTTGGCTTGCTGCTTCCTACGTAACCTTTTGAAGACTACACGGCCAAGCAAGCCCAAAGGTCCTCAAGCATACACGCCCGTAAAATTCCAAATTTGACAGCGCCTGAAGGCTCTATATTGAGGAAATCAGACGCTAAGTATGCCCTTCAAAAGTTGCTGCCGTAGACGCTGTTTCTCTGTACAAAGGCCCAAAGTTAGCTTATATTCCCTCTTAACCGTTGTGTGCGACAGCTCTGGGCCGCGTCCGGTCCCAGGAAGTTTAAATGGGAACTGTGGAGCCAGTGTAGTCTAACCGTAAGAACCTAATGCATGCAGGGTGTCGAATTTATACTTCGTAGCCCCCTTGCCCGTGTCCTTAAGGCGATTTTTATTCGACCATTTTGGGCATCGATCGCCAACCCAGCAGTGTGCAAGGCCGGGATGGAACTAACTCTAGGTCCGTAGAGAGACTGCGTGGATCCTCTTCGGCTTTCACACTCGTGAGTTTCCACGTGCAAGCTTGAGGCGACACTTTTTAGAGGAGCCAAGCTTCCCAGGTGGCATAATCCTCTTTAAAAGCGCGTTACACTTAGTGAGGCTGACGAGTTAACATCCTTCACGGTGGGAACTGTTCCTTTCCCTGGACAGATATATTGCCTCTTGTAGTTCCACTCTACAGACAGTTGTAGAAACTGACTGAAAATACTCAGCAGGATCGACTGCCTCATCCAGGAAAGCTCTGTCGCATAGAAACGGAGGTGGCCCGCCTGGAGTTGTATATGAAAGCAGTGAAAATATCTGGGGGAAACCAGCACTACGGTAGCAACCCCTTAAGCGTTGATGCATTGTGAGCTGCTACTTTGGGGCTTCAAGCTCTGTTCTTTCCAAGGGACCAAAGAAGCATTGCAGACGCCGGTTGATTGCTTCACCAATGTCTTCTTCTTCACGGCTGACTGTGGGGACACTGAGATGAACTCGCTGTTTCTCATCCTCTGCAGAGCTTGTGTCAAGATTTTGCAAAAGCCACCGTGGTAGCAGTTGCTGTACACGGGCAAGGCTGTACCTCTTATCGACAAGCAATATCGCTGCGTAGTCCTTGCTGTGGCGAATGGCGCGGCCTATTGTCTGGTTGACAGTGATCATGCATTGCAACAAACCATAGTCAATGCACTGCTTCTCCTTTTGCTGCTGATTAAGCTGCTTAGCATCTGCCCGCCCGCAACATGAAACCCAGCCTGCATCTTCAGCTTCATCTCCCGTAGCCTGCTGAGCTGTCATAATTTCATTATAATGCTGTTTGTGTAACAAGAATACTTTATCTTTAATAGAAGGGAATGGCATGCCAACCACTACTAGAAGGCGTGCGAGAGCATTGGAGAAGTTCACTCCTTCACTAAGTCGGCCTCCCATCACGCAAAACAAGAATACCGTATTCGATGTTTGGGTCCTAGCTCGGACGCATGTTGCTTTGCACCTCTCGTCTTGCCAAAGAGGACTGCTTCTGTCGCCGCATACGGATTTCAAATTTCTCGTACACTTTATACTTTCTGCGTCACGCACCACTCCTGCTGAGTCTCCCCTTAAAACGGCAGAGTTGTAGAGCTGCCAGAGGGCAGCTCCGTACGCAATGCGGATACCTGCGAGCAGGACCACAAACAAAGCCAAGAATAAACCCAGAGGTGAAATGCATCCAGCTGTCAAGATCTTAAATGAGCTAAACAGCATAAATATATGAGCCACGTGCAGGCAATCACCGGAATATGCACGCACATCCTGTCTTGGGGGGCCAAAGCACGAGCGTGCAAAACGGGACAGAGGCCATCCACTCATCAACTGGACTGCCAGGGAAGGTATCTAAATGGAATGAACGCGAAGCAGCGGAGAAGTAACCTTTGTCAGTGCTCGCGCGCAGAGAAGAGCATGCACGTAGGCGTTTGCATGGGTCGTATGCGTACATCTGTGTATCACGCATATCCTGACACCTTCACAATGGCCAAGCATGTAAAGCAAGTGCTTCGTAAGTAAGACAAACGGACACCTCAAGATACAAACAAAAGGAAATTGAAGCGAGAAGCCGGGGAGGTTGCTAGGGAATTGATTTGTAGAAAAAAAAAGGCAGAGTTACCCGCATCCGTCTTCGTGGGACCAGGTGTCCGCCTCTCTGCAAAGAGAGGCCCCCGTTCCCTTAACTTTTCTACCAATGGTGCAGCTGCAGCAGCAGCATCACCGTCAACAATGCCGTCAGAAACGCCGGCAACAGCTAGAAATAACTGCAGCGTTGCAAAAGAAGGGAAGAAAACAACGACACCACCAGAAACACTGTCAGAGACACAAAGTAGCAGACGCAGCAAGGAGACGAATTGCATGGGGAACTGCATGCGCTGAGAAAACTCGAAACAGAAGTCGGAGCAAGAGGAAGAAACTGCGCCGCACACAAAAACAAGGCACCGAGACCTGCTGCTCTTTCGTCGATTTTGCTGCTGCGTCCACTGCTCACACTTTTTGCGGACAAAATCAGTATTGTCGCTGACTTCCGTAGCCACAATGGGCCGCGGATTGGCACTAACTACAACCGCGGCAATTCACTCACGCCTAGAGATCGGAAGGGCAAGGACTCTGTCTCTTGCTGCATCGGAGTCCGCTGAGAGGAACAGAGAACTAGAAGGAGGCAGGCAGCGCACGAAACGAGAAAGGGACTCAAATGGCGATAGTGTTCCTCCCATCAATACCACCAGACGACTTGCCTTGACTGTGGAGACACATACCAGAAACAGAAAATCCTAGGCCCTAAACCTCAGTCTTTAAGACCCAAAATCTATGCCTCGTGCCTGCAGGCGCCTCAACTTACGTATGGGTTCAAAAGCTTTTTCTGCACAGGTCACACCACACATGATAAACCAAACCATAAACTATAAATTCTGCAAAGGAAACATAATCGTGCACGGGGTACGCTGCCTTTGAGTAGGCGTAGGTTCCAGCATATAGGACTAAGGAGTAAAGGAACATATACAGGATGGCTTACCAGTCGCCAGGCATACAACCTCAAGTCTACAACAGCAGCACGCGTTGCCAGAGGCAAGCTTTGTATCCGCTCCATCTGATACCGTCCCATCAGCGGCACCAGGAGGTCCCATCATTGTTGATGTTGCTCCTGTTGGAAGTTTGTGTACACTCGTTATGATGAGCCTATCCGCTGCGTCCATACCCAGCAGTGAGCAGAGAAAATTTCTAATTGTGTATAGGCAAGAGGGCTCCAGCAACTGGCGTTGCGAATGAAGCTGTTGTTTATTCTGCTTCTGCAAGTGCGGCAGTTTCGTCTGTTGCTGCTTTTCCTGCGGTTGTTGCAATTTGTGGTTATGGTACATTGCAAATCCCCTCAGTTTTTGGCAGATGCGTCGTGTGGGGTCAGATAGAAAGGCAATCAGTTCGTGGAGGTCAAAACTTTCGAGTTTGAAGAGGCGCAGCAACTCCGTCGCGGTTAGGACTGTTTCCCCGTCATGTGCCCGTATTTCCGCAGCAGCAGCGCCTCTTGCTGCTGTCGGTGCATCTGCTGTTCCTGCTTCTTCCCTACGCGTCGATGTCACAGGAGGGCTGGCGTGTAAATCGTCCACTACATGGTGCTGCTGCCATTGCTGTCGTGACGGCTGCTGCTGCTGGCCACAGCAGCAGAAAGGCTGTAACCGTTTGTAGATAGTCTCAACAAATCTCGACAGCTGCTGCAGCAGGTGGAGAGAGCGCGGTGCAAGCCTATTAGTGAAGCTTTTAGCGTACAATGAGAGTAGCCGAGCTGCAGATGCTGCTGTCTGATGGGAAAGCGCTGCAGATTTGCTGCTGCTCAGAGCAGCAGACAGGTGGTGAGCCTCGTCGACACAGAACACCGAACCTGCCAATGAAACGACTCCTCTTTCCTCCATATTTCCATTGGCAGGAAATGCCAGGGAAAACGGCAGCAACACGACGTCTGCTTCCGCTACTGCTGCTCGACACCCGTAGTAAGGACACCCGCCAACAGATTTACCGATACGCCTTAGGTCTTCTATGTCGAGCGCGGCAGCTACTGCAGCGTCTGAAACCAAGTGCTTCTTTTTGTAGTAGCTGCACAGACCCTTTGAAACCAGATATGAGCATTTGTCCCCCAGATCACTGCTGCCGTTGCTGCTGCTGCTGTTGCTGCTTACGCCATCGCATACATCTGGGTGTAAACACAGCTGTTGCCTGCCAGCCGCAACAATTGCGACAAAGTCCTTTATTTCCTGCCTCTTTCCCTGCTTATGCATCCTCCGAATTTCACCAATATACTGCTGCAGCTGCTGGTGTGTCCTGCTGCATATTACTATTTGCGGCTTGCGGAGGGCGTCAGAGAAGCCTTGCTGGGAAGAAATACCCCAAGCATCATGGCTAGAGCTAGTCCCTTCTGAGTCTATGGACTGAGCAGGCTCCTCAGGCGCAAATGCATCATACTCTCTCAGCTCCTGGTGCTCATGCAAGCTTGTTGCGGCTGCATGGCGCTTAGAGCCCAGGGGTAAATCTCGACATTTCTGCTGCTCCAGCTGCTGCACAGGGCTAGCAGCAGCTGCTGCTGCTGCCGCTGTATCAGCACGAACCGCTGCTTCCTTCAACCGTTTGCTTCTCTCCCGCAGGAACTGCTGGACTTGCTGCCGCTGCTGTTGCAGCAGTGCCGCCTTGACCCACGTCGCCATTTTCCTGGTTGGCAGCGAATCCTGCCGCTCCCTTTGTTGTGCTTGCGTATGCTGCTGCTGCTGTTGCAACTGATGCAGTAGCAGCTGCTCCTCTTGCTGCTTCAGCCACAACACAGAGGGACAGAGGAACGACAAAGTTTTGCCTCCTCCTGTGGGCATCTCAAGTGCAGCGAACCTTGTCTTCTGGCTGCTCCCCTGCAGGGCCCTCCACACAGCAGCCATGAAACGCAGCTGGGAAGGATAAGGGTCGTAGGGAAACCCAAAGGTGCCATCTTCTTCGCTTGCCGCTTCAACCGGTGCGGCTGAACAAGTGGATGAAACGGCTACAGCTGTTGGGTGTTGCCCTGTGCCTTTCATGCCTGCTCTGGCCTTATGCCCAGGCCTACAGCTGTGTCAGAGACAGGGACAGTCTTGCCGTTGAAGGCATATGGGGAAAATGCGCGCATCCCCCCCGTAGTTTGACAAGGCCAACGGCCCTTCCCCCTGGTGGGGGAGGCGGCACAGCCGTATTGATGTCTTTCGCCAGTTTTGAACGTAATATGAGCGAATTTTGCGAATTGATTCCATCCAGAAACAGTAAACAAGCTAAATGTTAGGNGGAAGGGTCCAACACGGCATCTGGGGGGCCGCACGACGGTTTGGCAGTGATTCGGCAAAGAATATAGACGGCTCCACCGAATAGCGAATGCAAATGTTTATTTGGGGAAGCCCTGCATTTTTAAGCCCAGAGAAGGTCAAATTATATGCCCCGACGCAATGAAGTGACACGTTTCTCAATGGGGCAGCTGGAAATGTGGTGAGCCAACAAAATCGGGACTGTAACTACTAGGTAAAGTCTTGCGTTTGACTGTCTCCTCCGGGGACAATTCTCATTTAATACCGTTCCATGTGCACTTCATCTCTATATTTTGCAAGAACTCGCTGTACAACTACTTGCAGGATGCTCTGCGCCCGATACTGTGTTTCGTGTATCTGTGACGCTCGTTATCGGCGTGCTACGGAGTGGAAGTACTGGCTTTCAGGCACGGACTAGTACATATACTACTACAAGCGCACATGAAACAACTAAGCCCACACGTAACCTGCCGTCCTCCCCCTTGACACCTCCGTGTCTTGAAAGCTTCACTTTTAGGCGTTCCGTCTTTTGGGGGGTGTTGCGACGCTACGATATAGCAAAAGGAGGTCGTCTCCCTCCTAGGGGCTTGCCTCCCTCCCCCAGAGATAGATGCATAAAGTGGAATACACAGGAGGCCTGATAAATGCGGGACAGTGCCTCCCGCTCAACTCCCTGCGGGTGCTCTAGAGCCTCCCCAATGATGAAGCATCTCTCTGACGAAAGTGAAGACATATTGGGGGTTATTCTGAGCTAAGCATCTTCCTGGTGAATAGTGCTCTCGAAATAATCCCTAATATGTCTTCGCTGCCGTCAGAGACGCTACATAGCTCAGAGGCTTAGTGAAACAAGGGCTACGCATACTACGCCCCGCCAACTGTGGATGTGTTTACTGGTTAGAAGACTCTCCAGTAACATTGAAACAGTGCAGTCGTACCCTGTTTCTAAGAACAGCTTAGTGGTGAATACTATCGAAAGAACCCCCAATATGCGTTCACTTCATGTTAGGTGTACAAGCACGTGCTGCATGACACCTCAACTACCCGACAAATTGCAGAAGCGCCAGCTACGCCTTATCTAGACCCTTATCTCTTAAGCACGGCCCGGTGCACACAACGTGGGACTCCAGCACGTGGAAAATATGCAAACAACATTTGCTTATCCGTACACTGAGTCCTCTTTGTCGAGTAAGAAAATGAGAGTTCGCCTTGGCTACAGGTGACCACAAACGGTCGTCTTCCCTAGCGCTTCCACTGATAAACATTTTCATAGTAAGTCGAGCAAGTCCCTAATAAACGAGATGCGCACATTCCCCCTACAGTGGCGGCAATATTGTTCGACATCGTGAGCTTCGCCCAGAAAAAGTCCATTAGATTCCAGCACTAGAAGAGAGCAGCCGGTGATCTGATGAATTGCGAAAGTCGCATTAAACTGCAATATTGTCTACGTGAGTGTTCCGTTGTTGTCCATAACGGTGGTCCAACGTGCTGCCTTTTGCACTGCAGGTTGTACGAATATATCTCAGTCGTAAGCTTTACACTTCGAACCCATCAATACGAACATGATCGCTTTCCCACTTAAGGGACAAAAAGGAGGTTGGCGTTGAAAAACTGTGGGAAGTGTGCGCCTGCCCAGTTGAACAAGGGTTCCCCGTTCGGCGCTTAAGGTTAGAAGTATTTGACCACGAACCCCAAAGGAAGCAGGAAAGAGGCCGTCAATACGAAGGGAAACATTCTGTCGTAGATGGCGCCTGACTGAACAAAGAAGGCGGACATTTCGCGCATTCAAGACTGTCCAGACGTATGTGATTGCGCAGTACACATTGACAACTAGAACGGAACAGGCAAGGGCAGAGATCAACAAATAGATGCCATTGTACGCGGGGAACCCTCAAGGCAATGCTAAAGGCGAAGTACTAGAACAGAAGCTGAAAAAGACGGGTACCGGCAAATGACAGTCGGGCAGGAGGGGACGTAGACACCAATCGAGACACAGCTATACAGGGAAGCAAATACTGACGAATGAAGAATATTGCGCAACACAGGGAGAAAATGTAAGTTCATAAGCAGGTAGTAAGGTGGGGGAAGACAGAGGTGAAGGCAGGCATGGTGCACACATGGAAGAGTGGTAAAGAGAAGACAATGCAGACGAAGCCGAAGGCATTGACCAGATAAACGAAAAGAAAGAGATGCTGCCGACAGGCCCAGCCAGCTTGAAATATGAGACATGAAGACGAACACAGAGTGACCGAGAAAAAATTAAACTGGGAAAGAATGACGGCCACATGTAAACAAAGGGTCGGCGGAGAACAACGAGCAACGACTGCGAGATTTGGGCAGAGAAGAAGAAATAGTAGGCTGAGAAACGAGAGCATCGTATGAAGACGGTGGCAAAGATAGAGCACCCAATAAAACGAGAATACAGGTATGCTTCAAACACCTAACACGGCGAAAACGACAGACGGGAGGAGAATGAATCATCAAGACGCACACACAAGTCTATACAACAACACCAGCAGCAACCCGAGAACCAAATGGAATGTATTTAATGAAACTTCTTACGTATTTATTAAACTTGCTGTCAGCGGGAAGTGTGGGAGTTCGTGGGGCTCTCCTAATTCCGGGGATAGGAAGAGGGGCAATGAACGAGGAAGCGAGAGGTGCTTCTGTCTGGGGAGTCGACGAAGGTGAAGGCGACACACATTTGGACTGTAAAAATGCAAACCACATGTGTGTTCCCTACGTGGCCGTTTACAGCAGATGTCATGTGTTGACCGTGGTATATTCACTTTTATAGTCGTTACCTTGTGTATGCAATTGGCTGGAAAACCACTTAGGGAATTGTAACAGGGCGTGGTAGCTGCTTGTCATATGCCCAAACTAATGTGAAAGGAAAAGCGGGTTTAGATTAAGTGGAACGCATCAAAGTTATCGCAGTTCCACGACAACACCCAGTTTTAAGGACACACGTGACTCGTGAAAAGAGGAGCATCCATTATTTATTCACCACATGTCACATGACGCGCTACATCTGAGCTGTTTGAGTAGTTCTGCAGGGGGCAAATTCAGCTTACGGGTCGCTCCGCAAGTTCTGCGGAGACGGGGGAGGAAGAAAAGAATCGCCGGGTGCTCAAAGCCCTGAAAACAGGGGTGATAGAGAATCTAGTAGCAACGGCAGAAGTCATCATGATAAAATAACGCGAATGACCAAAGAATGCTGGAGAAAATAGGTATATTAACGGGAACCGTCTCTACGGCGGCTTGGGGCGTCGGTGGCGCTCAGAAGGGCCCAGTGTATCTTCGCTACTACGCAAACACAAGTTCATACAAATGCGTAGTTTTCTTGCTTCATATTGATTGACAACCACAGGTTTTGAACTATTCCACCGGCTATTCTTGGAACTGTTGATGTGCATGCAGCCCCTAGTCGGCAACGTTGGCACATCGTAAAGGAGCGTTTGCCCAGAAGAATGGAAAGTTAAACAGAATCATTCAGTTTTCCGCCGTGGAAAATTCTCTCGTGTAGCAAGATGGATCTACATGAGAGCCCATTTTTGCGGCATACGATGCGGCTGGACTCTGTGCTTGTGCGGCTGCGTGCTATTTTCTCGCGAAGCCCCTTTTCCGAGGCTTCTGTATGAACGCGGCCCCTGTTCTAGACGATTTGGGTATGCAGGGCTGTTCTTAGGGCGTCGCCTTCCTAACGCCAGTTCGACCCCCAAGGGCAATTTGCCGCGCCCGTCCCTAGGGTAGTGATTCGCTTAATATCCAGACAGTTTCCTCGCTTAAACAGCTCACATAATGCTGATATGACCATGGAACTGCCTTATAGTAAGCCTGGACAGCCCAAGCGGTTTCAGTATAGACAGCTCTCTGGCGTGTGTAGCTGGACATGAGGTTGCTTCTGTAGCTTGAAGTACAGCAGGTTTGTACCACCTAATGCACTGCCTGCTCGCCAACTGTCGTGGGGTTGTCGCGAAATATGTTCCAATACCACAACACATCCGCGTTAGCTCCTTAGAAAATTTATTGCGACACGTCAGGACTGGCAGCCCCCAGTGGAATTATGAGAATCGTCAGTAGTTTCAATTCATGCCCTAGCAGCGGGACGTTGCAGCTTACAGCGTCGCTAAAAGATTTCCTACTTCAAAAATTATTCAGGCGTGCCATCGTGTCTTTAGTTGGGGTTGACAGCATGGTCAGAGTATAGTTACACTTGGAAACAGATGAAAGCTTAATTTTACTTCAAAAGAATTGCAAGAAAGGACGGTAGAGCAAAATCGCTACGGCCCATGCACGACGAAGGTGCCGGCAGATGAGACCAAAAGAACAACTACGAGATGAATTGGTGTTGCCAAATCTACATCCAGTTCTCCTCAGTCCCAGCTTGCTGAAGGCTAGCTGCGCTTCTCACAGTTGCCACCTTGTGGATGCTTGGCGGTCGCTGACGGGTAGCCGACAACTGGCTGTGAGTCATCGCAGCCAGCACGCTGGCGTTAATATCTGCATTCGAGTGCCGGTGTGTTGCAACAATCATTCTTCGTATTTTATGGGTTGGCAGTTCTCGGTCGCGTCCGGGCCTGAACAGACAGACAAAGACCGCAACCTGCAGAAGTGAAAACAAACTT